TCGCGCGCCCCGACGCCGCCGCAGAGCGTGCGAGTGGCACCGGCGGTGACGTTTTCGCCGGGCATGGAGGAGGCGTTGACGGTGCGGACGGTCGTCGTGCGGAACCTCGGCTTCGTCTCGTCGCAGTCCCAGTTGTGGTCGCCGCGGTCCCCGGAGGGCATCCTGTCCACGGCCGGGCGGACGATCGGCGACATCGTCGCCGCCGCGCCGGAAAACCACCGCGAGACGCACGATCAGATGCTGCGCGCGGCGGTCCCGGGGGCGCGCGCGGCGCTCCGGAGCGTGTCGAACGTCGTGCCCGTGGACGCGGACAAGCCGCGCGGCACGCCCGTCGTGACCGCGCTCGGCTCGGGGTCGCTCACCGACACGGGCTGCTTCGCGGACGGCTCGCCGCGGTCCAAGGCGTTCCGCCACTTCGAGGAGACCGCCGCCGCCGAGGCCCGGGACGCCGCCGAGGCCGCCGCCGCCGCCGCGGCCAACACCGCCGACGCGGCCGCGGCCGCGGCCGCGGCCGCCGCGGCGGCCGCGGCCAACGCCGCCGACGCCGCCACGGCCGCCGCCGCCGCCGACGCCGCCGCGACCGCGGAGGCCGTCATGGAGGTCGCCGCGGCGGCGCCGCCGGAGAACTCGGCCACGCGGACGGAGCCGGCCGTGGCGCCGGAACCGCCGGGTGCTACCGAGGCGGCGCCGCCGCGGCGCCGCGCCGGCGGCCTGCGCGGCAGGATGGGCCGGGCCTCGTCCCGTGGTGACTCCGGCCAGGCGGGCTACTCCGCTCTCCTCGACGAGGTCTTCCGTTCGAACGCGTAGGCCCTGCCGCTCTTCCGCCCCGCGTAGCCGGGCCGCGGGCACCTGAGCCCGCGTCTCGCACGCCGCGGCGGCCGGGGTACCAAGCATCCCTCCCCTTCCCTCTCGTCGCCCAGGGCCAAGTCCGCGCGCCCCCGTGCGCGCCATGTGTATAGACTGTGCCCCGGGCCCGAGGAGTCGAGTCGCCGGGCCCGTTCGCGTCGGGGCGCGAAGAGGTCTCGTCGACCGCCGAGCGCGTCGGCACACTCGGCCGGAANAAAGCAACGGTCGCCGGCGTTTACGCGGCGCCCGCGCGCGCGTCCGCGTCGCGGCGCTCGTGGATGAAGGAGCAGAGCATCTGCGTGTGCGCGAGGCCGCGCTGTAGCGCGAGCTTCGCGTCGAGGGGCTCGAGGAACCAGTCCGGGAGGAAGTCGAAGTCGCCGGTCTCGAGGTTCTCCTCGCCGCAGCGCTTCCACGCGTGGGCGTCCGTCGCGAGGTCGCCGAGGAGGTCGACGACGGCCGCGCGGACGCGGGCCT